TTGTATGAATACATTTATCACTGCCCTTTATTTATGATTATAAATTAGAGAGAACCCAAATTTCCAATGATGAGGGAATCACTAGGTGGATGTCATGTGTTATAATGAAATAGTACATTGAAGATATTTTATATTATGAAAATATGGAAAGGGACTTACCGATTAAGAATAAATGTAAAAGAGTAGAGTTTGAAATATGTGCAACAATGATAAAGATGATTTTAGGAAAATGCAATTACTGGTATTTGGGTATCAATTTTTGTTCTGTTGATTCAGTACGTAATACACAAGTCATTTTATCTGAAGGGTTAAGTGTATGAGATATTAAAGAGGATTAGATTTATTGAAGCAATGTATCAATTTGCATGTGTGTTTGATAGATAAACTTAAACTCGAGCGGGATTTCAGCAGATATAACTACCTGAGTCTGGACTCTGCCAAAGTTAATGGTGTGGATGATGCAGCAAATTTCAGAACCGTTAGGGTAAGATGTAATGCTTTTATTAAGCTTTGAAAGGGGTAACACTGTATTGCTCAATCAGAACTGGAACAATTCTGAGTTTTCTTTCAAGTATAATTCGTGCTTCCTAAGGTTTTGGAATTATACAAGAATACATTATGTTTTTGTTAGTTTGATTTTTTACTAGCTCAAAAATCATACAACATTGCAAAGGCCATGCTTTACCAGAGTTGGTGATTTTACCATTTATCAAAAAGAGCTTTTTTATTATCCTGGGGTTTGACTCTTACAATGATGTATTTAAATTCTAAACGTTTTTATGGCCAAAGTTTTATAGCCAAAGTTAATTTCCAAGTGTGAAAACTGCCCTTGGATCATGTTAAATCAAAACTACTTTGGGGCAGAAAATCTTGTTTTTATACAGTTTTAGAAATCTCATGTATAACCCAGAATGATTAGCATTCCACATTCATTAGAAAAGAAATGATTTTAAATAATACTGTTTTCTGTCTTTATGTGGTATGCACTCTTAGAATTACTCCTATTATGCCGTAATATGGTAACTGGGATTTACTTCGAAATGAGATAGCTGTAGTGGTGGGGAGGAGAGGGAGTAGGTTGGATTATGGATAAAACAAGATTGGCATAATTTAATTGTTGAGGGTGAGTGAAAGGGATGTGGGGGTTCTTTCTCTGCTCTCTCTACTTTTATATATTTTTGAAATTTTCCATAACAACAACAAACACTTACATTATTCCCATTGCTATGTAGCCTAGTCAATAAAAGAAAAAGAAAGGGCCAGCTGTTCTCAAAAGGAAAGCGTCTCTTAGAGTTTGTGATTTTTAAAAACTATATAAACATTCTCATATGGAAGCAATAGTCTGTTGATTTCTGGACAAGGTTTTGTTTAAGACTGGAGAGCAAGACCATGTGTATAGCTACTTTGCCTGGCACATAGTTGGCACTCCATAAAAATTTATGAATGAATGAATGCCTCATGGTACCCATGGCATCTCAGACTAGGCACTTCACCTTTGTAAGCCACGATTTTTCTCATATGTAAAATAAGCAAGGAGATTTTCTTTGTAGGGAGTTGTGAAAGCTTGTTGTTTGTTTTTGTTTCTAGCAGCAGAAAAAGACATAACACTGAGCTGCTGTGGTCAGAGGTAGTGGTATGCTAAGGACAGGCTGTGCTGCCAGTGATTTTTCTCATATGTAAAATAAGCAAGGAGATTTTCTTTGTAGGGAGTTGTGAAAGCTTGTTGTTTGTTTTTGTTTCTAGCAGCAGAAAAAGACACATAACACTGAGCTGCTGTGGTCAGAGGTAGTGGTATGCTAAGGACAGGCTGTGCTGCCAGCCTCCTCTTCCTTCTCTCTTCCCCTTGGCATGCCCCCCTCTGCCACAGCACGCAAGGTACCCCAGGGCTCCTTGAATCACAGTTTGAAACCACTGACTAAGATATAGCTTTGTCTTTTAAGTTTTTTTCTTTTCCAGAAATAAATCTGTAATATGATTCATTTAAAAATATATATATATATATACATATTTTATTTTATATATATACATATATATATATATATATATATAAAGAACTACAGAAAGAAAACAGGTGCTTTTTTTCCTCTTTGCAGAATGCCATGCAGATTGTGGGCTTTATGGATCATGAAGCCGAGTCTGTCTTGGAGGTGGTGGCAGCGGTGCTGAAACTGGGGAACATCGAGTTCAAACCTGAATCTCGAGTGAATGGTTTAGATGAAAGCAAGATCAAAGATAAAAATGGTAAGTCAGTGGAGAATCAGCTTTGTTTAGGAAACTTGTTTTGAACTTCTGCCTGATTTTTAATCCAGAAAGTGAAACTTTTGCTTTGCATTAGTTTGAAAAAGCTTTCTAGTGAAACTGAGCAGAAATACATGTAATTCAGCTAAATTTTGTCTTTTGATGTATATATTTATACTGTTTAGTTTGAATGCGATTTAGAAAAAACAACCTAAGCCTTGAAAATGAATATTAGCAGTACATCCACATTCACTCGTTGTGTCCATCTCTCCCTCTCACCCAACAGAGTTAAAAGAAATTTGTGAGTTGACTGGTATTGATCAGTCAGTTCTAGAACGAGCATTCAGTTTCCGAACAGTTGAGGCCAAGCAGGAGAAAGTTTCAACTACACTGAATGTGGCGCAGGTGGGTAAATTATAACGTATAGAAGAAAGTTTTTTTGAAAGTCTAATATTTTCTATATAAGTGTAAATAGGCTGTTATCTCAACTGTCAAACTCTATTCCAGGCAGGCATCGTTCTAGGTACAGCAATAGACTAAACAGATAAGGAAGGATCCCTGCCCTCATGAAGCTTAACATTCTAGGCACTTCAAAAAGGAAATAGTGAGAAAAGCCAGGTTTGGAGTACCTATCCGGAAAAGGATTGATCAAGCTTGAACACTGAGAAGAGGATTCAAAATAATGTGGCTGGCAATAAGTCTGGAGTTAGAGTGGAGAGACTGCAGCAGTAGTTCTCAAACTTGATCGAGCAGGCATCAGAATCACCTGCCGGGTTGTTACAGCACAGTTTTGGCCCCCTCCCCCACCCCCCCAGTGTTTGATTCAATAAGTCTAGGGTAAGACCGAAGAATTTGCATTTCTAATAAGTTCAGAGGTAAAACTGGCACTGCTGATTCAAGATCACACTTTGAGAACCACTGGCTTGGTTGTTTTCAATAGCCAGAGTGGGCATTGTTAAGTATATAGTTATGCCATGAAAAAAAAAACCTGTGTTGTTTAAGAAAGTCCTTTAGGAATATATATTTTTATTGCGTGTTTTACTCTTGCTTTTTAATCATCCTCTACGGGAACCAGGCCCAGGTGCCTCTTACTTTATAAATTTATTTGAGTCACTTCACACCGCTGGGTGTGAAGTGACTCAAAAAAAAAAAACTTTTACACTGTTTTTTTTTATCCTTTGGCATAAAAGAATTTGGCTTGAGATCCTCAATTATTCAGCTCCTTAGTCAAAATGTTGTTTTTTTAATGTAGTGTTCAGAGTACCTGCTCTTATGGATCTTATTGCCTGGTGGGTTTTGATTCCTGCAAGAAGTGATTTGTTTCATTAGCTTTTCCTCATAGCTTCAATGCTTGGACCCCAGTGTCATCTTTATTGCCCTGTACCTCATTTTCTCCAACGCATTTCGATCTTTCCCCAGATAAGATGACTAATATTGAAATAATGGAAACTCAAGACAGTTTATCATTCAGCTTCTACAGCATGCTCTCTCCTTGGCTTCCATGGTCCTCTGTAATCTGACTCTACATGGCTTATCTTAGTTTGTTCCTTTCTAGTTCTCTAAATGCCAGACTTATTTTTGCCTGGTGCCTTTGCTCCTGCTTGCCTGTGTTGTCCCGCCCCCCCGCCATGTCATTGCTCACTCCTGCCTGTCTATATGGTCCACCTAATTGCACCCCATCCAGGGAGACTTCCTTGGTCAAATAGGCTTCCTGATTCCCCCTTCCCTGAACTTCTTTTTCTCTGCAGTTTGGCCCCTGCCCTCTGACTGTTATATTGGTGTGAGTTTGATCTTCCCAGCTCCACTGTAAGCTCCTGAAGGGCGGACATCTCATCTGTGCATGTCTGTGTCTCCACCTTGCTTAGCACATCCCGTCCTGGGCCAGACCTGCTACTGGCCATTTCTGAAGCAGATTCCACCTGGGATTTTCCTCTGTGAGCTTCCTACAGCTGCAGAAATGCATAGACTTTTCATAGTATGCTTAGAATCTGAGGTGGTGAATAAGTGCACTGGTGTCTTCCCTCATTTCTACATACCTTATTAGAGACCCTTAGATGGGAATAAACATTCTTCCCTTACTGCTTTATAGGATATTCCTGTAGAGATTAGGTGGCATGAATCAGGCTTAAGATGTCAGGGGTGGCAATTGGCAGCCCCTGAGGTCATATATAGCTCAATAGGCACATTTTATTTGACTAACGGTTAGTTTTTTCTTTTGTTTGCTTGCTTTTTATTTTTACCTTTTTGGTGGCTGGCTGGTACAGGGATCCAAACCTTTATAATATTGTTCGCTTTTTAAATTTTCAATTAGAGTACGTTTAACCTGGGGTGCATCTTCCAACCCCTGCAGATCTTCTACCTCCTGTTCATTTCTATCACACAGTCCCTGGAAGCATTTAAGTTTGAGATCCCTGGAATAAATATTTGTTTGAAGGAAGCAAAGAAGATTAATATTGGTTTTGAATACACTTTGAAAAATATAAAGCAGTTTATTAGAATAAGGTGTCACTGTTAGTTCAGTTGCATATTGAAATGGTGGTTTGTTGGAAGCAGATAGCACACAACTAAAAAAGCTGGATAACATTAAGGTGAAAAGGGGTTTATTTACAAATACATGGTGTTTGAAATTATGTGGTGTTTTGAGATAACTTGAATTTATAAGAAAAGGGATAGGATTAGGAAATTATATAGGCTTATCAGATAGAAGTAGAGGAAAAGGATACTTCAAAAATTATAATGTAAATATATTTAGAGACTGTGTGCTAGACACTGTTCTAAGCACTTAAATTACCTATTTTCAGAAAGTAAAAACTAGAAGAAAAGGTATTGGGGAAAGGATATGCATCTAAATTATATTTCGTCTTTTTTCTGTTTCCGCATTTTACCTGCATTTTCTGCTATGAAATTATTCCCTCCCTTTTTTGGGGGGACAACTTCTTGATTTATTATTATTGTTTTGGTTTTTGGGGGGCAGCTGGCAGGTACATCTTGGTGTATTTTCTATCTCTGATTGGAGTAGCTGTCTGAGGTGTGGGGGGGAGATTGAGGATTAGCATGGAAGTGTTAGACGAAGGGGAAAGGTGCTCTCTTTTCAGCTGTGGTATGTTGCCTGGGAAGCGAACATGTTGTTAAAGTTGCTACACTTCATTTAGGAAGGAATGTGGGAAGAGTAATCCCTATATTCTTTTTTTTTTTTTTTTATTGTGACTGGTAAGGGGATCGTAACTCTTGGCTTGGTGTCGCCCACACCGCGCTCAGCCAGTGAGCGCACCGGCCATCCCTATATAGGATCCGAACCCGCGGCCTGGGCGCTCCCAGCACTGCACTCTCCCGAGTGAGTCACGGGGTCGGCCCAGTATTCCCCATATTCTAATAAGTTGTGCTCTTTATAACATAAAAATGAACTGGTTTATTTAAACAGTAATACCCGATTTTCTGCTTACAAGCAGCGAAATATACACATAAAGCCAGTGTGTTAAAAACAGCAACAAAATCTCTCACTTTCTTCCTCCAAGTCCAGTTTCTTCTTAGGCTGCTGACACCCATCTCTAGGTCTCTCCAGGAGGACTGGGGTTAAACATCTCCTTAGTGCTCACTGGCTGTACATGCTGGGCACCCAGTACATTTAGGGGCAGTCAGGTTCAGCCATCCAAACCTAACTTTCTCCAGCCTTGAATTGTAAGTCAAGAGTCATAGAGACACATATGTTTCCTGCCTCTTCTTTGTCAAGTATCTCTCACCACCTTTAAAAGTAAATAAATATACACATAAAAAAGGTTTTATTTTCATTCTACAACCTATACAAACTCATTGTGGGAGATTTTTAGAAAATACTCAGATGGTTGAATGAAGAAAAAAAATTTCCACATCCCATCAGTCAAAGCCATTTTAATGTATTTCCTTTGAGTTTCCTATGTGCAGGAGTTTTTAAAAAGTTGTTATTGTTTTAAGTGTACAATTTAAAAATTTTTATATAATATAAGCAATTTCCATTTCATTATCTAATTTCATCCTCATTTTTCTATGATGACATGTAACATCCCCTTCAGTGGGTGTTTATTTTATTACCTCCCTATTGTTGGACTTCTAAATTGTCTCTGGTTTTTGTCTTTTTCTTAACATTGAGATGAATATTGTTGTGGCAAAAACTTGGAATATTTAGAATTAGTTTCCTAGGATGGGAAAAGGTAGAATAAGTCTGTATTAACAGTTTGCTTAATCTTCTTAATGACTTGACTGCTCATCCAGAGTATAATGAAAACTGATTCTGAAAAGAAATTTGAAATACAAGAGCTTTAAATATTTTTAAAAATATCTTTGTTATTTTATTGAAATTAAGCATTGTGATAATTGTGGGTATTAAGTTATTCTTTTTCTTTCTAATAGGCTTATTATGCCCGTGATGCTCTGGCTAAAAACCTCTACAGCAGGTTGTTTTCATGGTTGGTAAATCGAATCAATGAAAGCATTAAGGTACTGAATCTCTGTAAGCAAAGAAATCAGTTGTAATAAACAGCATTTCTAGTATAAACATTAAGTTGGAGAAAGTTTAATTTTACAATCAGATTATTGATTATCACTTATAAAGATTATTCCTTTAAGAGAATTTACCTTGTATAAGATAGAAATTTGTCAGGTATTTTGTTTATTTTGTTTTGCTATGTGTGTTATAACTCACTGGTGAATAGTATAGTGGTCTTTGCAGAGTTAACCCTGAGAGTCAGCATCCCAGGTTCTGATTCTGGCTCATCTGTTGACTATTTGTACACACTTGACTGCAAAGGTCACTTTACCTCTCTAGGTACTAATATGATCTTCATTAAAACTAGTGTGTTAGACTAGGCGATTTTGAAAAGCCTACCACTTGTAAGATTCAGTGATTTTTTTTTTACATTAAGTACCATTAATACCTTCTTTAAATAAGTCTCCTATTATTAAAATTTCTGAAGATTCCACACAAATATCCTGTTGCATAAGTTTTTAAAAAACTAAATTTCAGGTATTCTCGTAATTAAGAAAAACAATTGACATGTAATATATGTCTATGCTCCTTGGATGCTTGTAGTATTATACGTAATGCCTTCATTAACCCATTGATTTGAAATTTTTTTTAAGGCTCAAACAAAAGTGAGAAAGAAGGTCATGGGTGTTTTGGACATTTATGGCTTTGAAATTTTTGAGGTAAGATTTTAAAAATTTCCTGTAGCACCTTTATTAAAGTGGAACAGTTGGAAATTAAAACTTATATTTTATAGACAGCATTTATTGTAAGTAACTATAACTGAATCTACAAATAACCTTTGTGAAGATGTAACAAAATTTGTGTGTGTGTGTGTGTGTGTGTGTGTGTGTGTGTGTGTGTGTTTAAGTTCTGAGAGCCAGCATTTGGAGACATTGCTGTTTAAAAAGAACTTCTTGTATTAGTACTTGACTTTTGAAATTGCAAATTTGGAATTGTTTCTGTGAGACTTCTAACAAGCTACCTTGACATTATGCCTGTGGCCTTTTGCTCATTTGTAGGTAGTTTGAAAGTGAGGCAGGTTGGTGCCATGAAAAAAGCCAGCAATAGGTGAGCTGGAGGCTGTCAGGGCCTGTGTAGGGCTATTGATTTCATCTTTGTGAAACTTAGGGAGAGAGGGTCTGGATAAGATGACTGGTCGAGTTTCATCTAGCTGTGCTCTTGCAATAATGAATTCTGCCACAGAGGTTGAAGTAATTTCTGCTAAAGTTCATAATGAATTTTTAAAAAAGATTCCATGCTTGCTACAAATTAAATATTTACACATTATATACTTACATTAGAATTCCCTGGTAATCCCCTTGCTAACTTTGACATTTAGAAGCAGTTTTGAGCACCTATTAAAACCCTTATTCTCACTTTCAGGAGTGGTATTTTAGTTTGGTTCAGGGAAATAACCGGTAGATCAGGCTCCTCCTTTCTTAAGTCTCCCCTACAAGTAATGATTTGTGAATCCTTTAAGTAACCAGGCCCTGTCCAGAATGACCACCCAAAGAATTTACATGTTCCAAAAAAATAGGGTTACGGAATCACAGAAAAAACATCAGAGCATTCTCTTCAGCTTAATCAGGTTTTTCTAGCAAACACCTTTTTCGTAGAGCATTCATTTTTCTGATAGTGTGTTCTCTCTCAATCACGTTCCACATTTAAATAGCTAGTGGTAAATATTTATGGAAGGCGGGACTGTATGCAAGCATTGTGTTAAGTATTATGTGTATTGTCTGATTTAATTTTCAGAACAACCTCATGAAGTAGCTGTTATTATTATTCACATTTTATAGATGACAAAGTAAGGCTCTCAAGGTCATGTAACTCGCCAGGAGTTACATGGCTAGGCTACTAAGTGGTGGACTCAGGACCTAAATCCCAGGCCTCCTAATATTTTCATTCATTGCTTTTCTTTCCTGTTATGGTTGAGACCAGGGCTATTTCCTCACTTTTCTTCTCAAACGCACAAGTTATCCAATGTCTGGAAAAAGGAAAAAAATCAAATGTTGTGATAAGTTTCTGACTCTCCCCTATTTTTCTGCCTTTGTCGTCACCCCCAGCTCCTGGCCAGTGCTGGGAGCCTTCCCAAATGGAAGTGTGTGTTGGTGGCAGAGTGTGTGGACATTACCACTATGTGCTAGCTGCTGTCCCCATGCTGCCTCACAATACCACTTTTCAACACAGTGTCTGCTTATGTTGGTGCCCCTCTAGCAGAATCTGCAAAGGAAAGCTGCTAGTCCTTTGGCAAAAGGGAAGAGTTTGAGGTTTGTGAGTTAGGAGAATTGCTTGAGTGTACTCAGAAATCACTGTGCTGAAATTAATTTCTTTCTAGCAAGATCTCAGGTTACTATCACTAACTAAATGGGCAGAATGTCAAAGTCATTCTTTACAGTTGGCAGGGAAAAAAATTTTTTACCTGGCACAGTGCTGATATAAATTTAAATGGTGTCACAAGCATGCAGATGGTAAGTGGAGATTTTACTAGAAAGATTCTGCCTCGTGACCATACTGACAGTTCCTATGAAAGCATTTTTCAGCTGAGCTGGTAGAAACCTTTCATTCCCTTTGGTCCATCTCTAAACGGAAGAGGGAAACTGATGAATTAAACCACGGGATGATGACACATGGATTTGACTGCAAAACCTTCCAGTACCAGCTGAGTGAATAAGCTCTGCCTGGCTGGCTGCGTGTGATCCGATCTCAGTTTGGGAAACAGATTAGTGGAATATTGATACCTGAAATAAGATGAAGTGAATTAAAGTTCACAGAGGAAAAAAATGCAGCTGGAAATCCTGGTAGAACATAAGTCCAACTTTCCAAAGGAAGAAAATTATCCAAATACTCCAATTCGACACAATGAAGTTTGGACACTCTTATAAGTGAAAACATGGGTTTTGATCTCTGAGAAATATTTATAGCATCTCCCTAAAAGAACAAATGCTATTCTTTAAAAAAAATGAAATTAAATTCCATAGTAAGTTGAGCAATCTAAATTGATTCAGCTTTTTTTTCTAAGTACTTATAGGTACTAAAATTGGCAGGTAGTTTACTGGGAAAATCTAATTAATTTTTAGCGTCCTGTAGATCAAAGCAGGAAGCAGTGCCTGATTATTTCACTTTTCATACAGTTGAGCTGGTTTCATACAGGCCAAGTGCTAGTTATTTTGAATGATGGCCTCCTTGTTCATCTTGTCCTTAAGAATCTTGTTGAAAGTGACACATATTAGTAAGAGTATGATAGGCTAAATGCTATGATTGTTCCAAATAAAACAATCTTATATTTGGGCAAGAGAGGGTAGCCTAGTAAGTCCATCTCATGATTATAGGATTGGTTTTCTAAATTGTTTTTAAAAGAAAATTAATTTTGATTTTAGTCAACACCTTCTGTTCTGGTTTCTTGCCTTCAATTTTATCCTTCGTGTTTTAGAGAACTTAGAGACAATTTAAAGTAGATTTAAAAACAAAAATGGTGACAATTAATATGGTTTATAATATGAATGTATATATACATCATTATTCTTTTTTTTTTTTTTTAAAGATGACCGGTAAGGGGATCTTAACCCTTGACTTGGTGTTGTCAGCACCAGGCTCTCCAAGTGAGCGAATCGGCCATCCCTATGTGGGATCCGAACCCGTGGCCTTGGTGTTATCAGCACCGCACTCTCCCGAGTGAGCCACGGGCCGGCCCGAGTGAAAGATATTTTAATTTTAATTTTTACCCCTGATTGACCTGGAGATGGCTCATAGTATCTCACTACAGGGGTGGTTCTCCTGTAATTGATCACTACAGGGATGGGTCGAGAATGGTCCCCTTAGGGGATTTCTCACAAACCTGGGAGGAGAACAGTACTGTAAGATTTCATGATTTAAAATATTTAGGAACACTATAATGTTGTTTTTCTTAAAATTTACCGTATTTAAGTATATACCCAGAAGAAAAACATTATATATTTAAAGGGAAATTTTCTGAAACTTTAGCCAGTCATTGAATTTTGTGAATATCTAAAAAGGAGAATATTTAATGTCAAATGTTTTTCTCATATATTTTGAGGATTTTTTTAAAAGTTTACTTTCTAAAAAAAGCAATTCTTGATTTTGGGCCTATTTCTTGACATTGTGATTTTTAGAAGTGGATTGTGATAAAGCACGTTATATTTTTTCTATAGAAGACATGACATTATAATTGGGTGCTGCCAAAGGCTTTATATCAGGTAAATCTTTGCTAGGACTAAAAACATATTTTAAAGCAGTTATACAGCCCAACTTCTCAAAAACGGTGATATTACACTCAAAATCCTATTAACTTTTATATAAGTGTACTGTTGCATTTATTATACAAGAGACTTCATTGTATGTAAAATAAGGAAACTCCAACCAACATTTTATATCCAAAATTTGACTTTCAATGGAAGTGCTAAACTGTAAGAAATATTAATTAAGTATGTAATTAACAGTACTTTTTGTTTGAACAGGTGGTCCTTTTTTTTTTTTTTTTGCTTGACTGTGGTCTTTGTGCTTGAACTGCCCACTGTTTCCAACACATAATATTCGCCTACAAACTCCTTCCCATCTCATTGTCCCAAAGGCAGAAGGGACAGAGTTACCTCCTCTGTTTACCATCTTCCTTTCAATATTTATTTGAAAGAGTTTTTAAAGAATACAAGGTTTAAAGAATATGTATCTGCCACAAAGAATATCATTAGCCTCCTCTGTTGCTAAGAAGAATATACAAATAGGCCAGTATTTTGATATATCTTTCAAAACCATTCCATGTGGAAAGTTTGTGATTGATACTTGTGAATATAAACTGGTTATGAACTCTACTGGGAGAATGATTTTCTGTTTCTTTGATGTTGAGAGGATGGACTCAAAGTCTAGAATTTTTGAAAGAAGCTTTGGAGTTTAAAAATTTAGTATATTATATACTCCTCTAAATATAGTAAGTGCTGTCTATCCCAGTCTACAATTGGTGAGTATATTGTGAAATAGCATAGATCCCAGACACCTTGCTCTTTACCTGTTTTCTCTAAAGCAGTCTGGGGGTGGTCGTTCTGTGCTTCATTCAAGGGACTTGTGTAATGGAAATCCCAGAATATACTTGTTTGATGGTGCTTCTGAAAGTGTTAATTTTATCCTTCAGATTTTTGAGATAAATGTGGGTAAGACAGTAGAGAGAAATCCCGTGCATGGAGCATGGGTAGAAAACCGGGAAGAGTGGAGATGAGTTGTCACGAGGGCCACTCCTGCCCACTTCCTCCTCTGGTGACTTTGATTCATGAGACTGACACATGGCAGAGGTGCCCACCTCAGGGACTACTGGCTACTCATGCAGTTCTTGACAAACCAAAAAAGTATCCAAATATAAAGTGGCTTTGGGGCCTTCATATTCATGTGATGATTTCTAGACTTGGTTTAGCTATTTTTTAAGGGGGAGGGGGACCCAAGCTGAATACATGGTGTTGTTTATGCCTGTATCAGTGGAGAACTGTGTTGGACCTGTACAAGTTGGAGTTCTAGGAACTATTACCAGGCTGTTCCTTAATTTTCTGCAAATATTTGTTTCTTAAATTTTTGCAAGTTATTTTTAATCACCTGTAAAGTCCCATTTCCCCCTAAATTTGAACAATGTCAACAACTTAAACTTAAATTACAAGAAATGTATGTCTTTAGCCTTTAGTTTCAGCAGTAATTATTATCCTGGCAATTCATGACATGTTTTGGAGGCTGTGGAGGGGTGTTTGCAATAGATGCTGCTTTCTATGGGAAAGTAAGTTAATTTCTGCTTTGATGATTGTGCTGTTCTATTTTTATTTTGAGTTTTCTTGTTTGTTTTTTAGGAGCAGAATAAGATTGGAGAGTTAAGTTTTTGTTCTTAGGCCATCTCCAGGAGAGTGCTCTCTGCCTTACCACTTTGTTTGCTTGTTTTCGAAGAAGAGGTTCAGCTCAGGAGCGCATGGGAGTGGGTCCCTGGGGTGGGAAAGGGGGAAGTACTTGTGGATCTTCTCCTCTTCACTGTTTGGTGATCTGCCAGCCGCCTCTGCTCTCTTTGGGTGGATGTGGGCCTTGGGTGCATGTCATGCACGTTTTCTTTTTCCTGATAATTTAGATTTAGAAACATTAGATTCTGAAGCCTTAGGGCTTCATGGAGGTTATATAATTATAATTTATAATTATTTCAGTCAAACCGTTTTTATCCTGAATAGCTCTCCCCTAGCAGAACCACAATTCAGACACCACATGTAGGTATTGTGGTCTTGTCTTTTGAATTCATTAGACTCACGTCTTCATCTAAAGTTTTATACCAGTCAACAATGTAGCCTGAATGGTAAGAGTGATCATTCATTTACAACAATGAATAACTATCAGTAAGTGTTTACTTTTACAAGTCTATTGCTAATTAGGAACTGACTGCATTTTGTGTAATCTGTTCCTTTTTGCACCAGAATGCAGTAAGTATGAACTGTTTGCAGTGCCAATCTGTTGCATGCTCCTGTGCTAATAGCTTTTCCAGCTGTGTGAGTTTTGCAGTAAATGATTGTTGATTAACTGTCTGGATATGAAATACAGAATTCATACAGGAGTTTTTAAAGGTTGCAGATCAATTTTTTTTTAGCTCTAACTTAGTACTCAAATTTTGTTGTAATTGTGAAGCTTTGCCTCTGGTTTCTAATCTGCTTGTGTGTATTTCATGGTCCTGTTTTAGAAGTGTACTTCAAGCTGTTCATAGCCACATAATATGTCTAAGGACACTAGTTGCTTTCCTCTTCCTTTTCATTAATTGCCACTTCAAGATTTAGCACAATTGTGTTGAAGTAGTGCAATGGGCACAGACTTGCCAAATAAGGGAAAGGATTTTTACTCCGTGAAAACAAACTAAAGACCTGTTCACATAAGCTATTAAAATTTTAGTTTTATTTGTAACTTTTTTATTTGGGGTAGTAGCATTTTATAAGAAAACATTTTTTTTCCAAATCAGAAAAGCTAGATTTTCTTATATATGAAATGGCTTGATGCTGATTATAATAATAATAAGGCATCTACACCAGGCTGACTTCAGTTTTTAATCAAAATGGTTAGCTCTGAGGATTGGAACACAGGGACCATTCCTTTGTGTCTAAGACCATATTTGTTGAAAGTATTGAAAATAAATGTTTGCTCTTTAGTAAGAAACTTTCGGATTTACAAAAAACAAACTTGTATCCTTGACTAAATTTAGCATTAACCAGATCAGTCAGTGATAGTGTATTCACATCTGTCATTTGTGGTTTAGAGTTAAAATTTTCCTCTGATCAGTTAGTTCATTGCTAGTGATTTAAATTTAGCATTAACCAGATCAGTCAGTGATAGTGTATTCAAATCTGTCATTTGTGGTTTAGAGTTAAAATTTTCCTCTGATCAGTTAGTTCATTGCTAGTGATTACCAATCCTTAGCTGACTTCCAGGAAAAAATGTGGTCAGATGCTGCATCATAAATACCATTTTAAAATTTGTCCTAGGTAGGACCAAAGTCAACTTTTAAAAAACTCAGTGACTTTTTCACTTTTGTCATTTATAGAGGGATTTGAAGGCAAGTTGCTTTATGTGTTCACAAGGATCAAAAAGCTTCAGTTCCACCATTACGTGTGGACGCTGTCTGGTTTTTAGACCCGGACCGTCCACCTGGGTGGAATAAGAGTCAGTTTTACCAGTGGTGGAGTCATACTGTTCCTTCTTCCCACTGCCACCATCTCCTGGCAAAGAGGAGAGATAGAGGTGAAAATAACAGTTCAGTGCCAGGTCTACCTCTTCTGGGAGGTGTGGTTCTTAGTGAAATGTATTCATTCAACAGACGTGTTTAGTGCCCTCAGTATATACAGCAATACATTAAGCCCTGAAGATTGTTCAGAAATGATTTAGACATGGAGTTTCCATCAAAAAACTCATAAGAGATAACTAATATGAAGGAGAACCTGAGAACCTGCTGAGACGTGTAGGAGTGATAAGGTGTGTGGCTCTTCAGAGAAGAGAGAAATCACTTTTGCCAGGGAGATGATTTTGATGTTTTACATCCCTTCAGCCTCCATTTGGGAGGAACTTCATTCATTCATTCACTCATCCAGGACATATTGAGTACTTTTAGGTGCGAGGTTCTTGGGAATACAGCGAGCAAGATCAGCCCTTGCCATAAGGAATGTATAGTCTAGCGAGACAGGAATATGAAGTGCATGTGCACAGGTACATACACACATGTATTCATAGAACATGATTTTTTAAAAGTGCCGGCATGTAAGAGTCAGAGTGAGGGATCTGACCGTGGGAAGGAGAGGATAATAGAATGAGTCAGGAGGACTTTCTCGAGCTCTCTGGTTTCACCTGAGAATGGGGAACCTGGTGACAGAGACTGTGAATCTCACTGTGTCTTTACTGATCCTTCAGGGAAATAAATTTTTTCTTTAACCACGTGTGGGGTGCTTCTCTATTTACTAAAAATCTTCGTCCTTCAAATACTGCATCATTTATGTATACTTCATTCATTCATTTACTCATGAACCATTCCTCAAGTGCCCACAGTGAGCAAGCGTCTGTCCCAGGAGCTGTGTGCTGGGCCACAGCTGAGGATGAAAGACAGTGCGTGGCATTTCTTGTGAACTGAGGTGTCTGAGTGTCATTGTTATGGAAGAGGTAGTGGCATGGTTTATAAGACTTTTTTTTCATTTTCTCTGTACAGGACAACAGCTTTGAGCAGTTCATTATTAATTATTGTAATGAAAAACTGCAACAAATCTTCATTGAACTTACTCTTAAAGAAGAGCAGGAAGAGTATATACGGGAGGTAATGTAGAAATACTTTTTTAAAATGTTCCTTTTTTACTCATAATATAAATTCTGGATTCAGAAGACTGTCTACACGTGAAATCAGATTTATCTTAGTTTTGACATATTGTTGTCTTTTAAAAATTTGGTATGACATCTAAGCCAGCTGAGATTTTCTTTGGTACTGTGTGGCTAGTGCCCAGAACAGTGCCTGGCACATAGGCAATAAATGTCAGTTGACTGCCTTCAGTCTTCTTGGATTCCAGTGTAATGATATAAAACAATAGTGTGTCATGAAATAGTCTGAGATGAATGGAAAAACAGTTGTGGTACATCCATACAATGGAGTAATACTCAGCCATAAAAAGGAATGAGCAATTGATATACACAGTAGTATGGATGACTTTGAAATGCACTATACTAAGTGAAAGAAGCGAGACTCTAAAGGCTATATACTGTATGATTCCATCTATATGTTATCTAGAAGAGGCAAAGCTTTCGAGACAGAGATTGCCCGTAGAAAGCTATAGAGTCAGTGGTTGCCAGGGGATAAGAGTTGTGGCAGGTTGTACCTTCAAAGGGACTGTACAAGGGAATTTGGGGGACTGATTTTGGTGGTGGTTACGTGACACTATTAACTTCTCAAAACTTAAGAGAACTGTATACCAAAAAAAGATCAGTGTCACTGTAAATAAACTTGAAAATATTTTGAAACTTTGCTTGATCTTGAAAATCATTTGTTTCCAAAATTTATAATAAAAATAAGTAGCATTTGTTGAGTGCTTACTGTATACTAGGTATTGTATTCAGTGCTATATATGGATGACTTTATTTAATGTAATTTTAAGGTAACCAGAAGTAACATTTGCAAAGTCCTTTTATCCTTAATTTTAAAACATATACTTGATTTTCACCCTTTCATTTTTTAAATAGCCAATCTTTTTCCAAGTATGAAATTATTTCAAAAAAATAAAAGGGAGGAATTATTGGGTCTATATTTTTGTTTCTTTTTGATTTATTTGCTTTAATATTTTAGTGATGATATTTTTCTTTATTTTCTATAGTGTCATTTTAAACCATTAAGTACACTGAATTCTCTACTTTTGTCTCAATATAGATTTTTCTAATGTGATGTTATCTCCAGTGACTTAGTAAAACAGCCCATTTACTTTAAAGCTAAATCATAAATATTTTATCTTTATTTTAGAATGATCATTATGCTTTAGAAACATTTTATTCTTGTCTGGCACCTTTTGGTAATGTAAATATCCTAAAAGCAAGATTCATTCTCTTCCTGTCTTCTCATCATACAGAGAATGCCCAAACTTTGATGTGTAACTTAAAACAGTTTGTACAGATCGTCTAAAACACTTCTAAGAGTGTATAGGAAGATCCCTAACCAGCTGTATGAATTAAATTTTTTCCCTTAGAAGAAAAATAAATGTTTATACTTATGGACAAAGTGTAAACAGACACAGAATGATTACATTTGGCTTTACAGATTTGGCTTTGTAGCTAGCATTACAACCAGGGGTTAGGTTTTCATGTCTTTCCTTATGTTGAAAATACTTTGTCTTAGTACTGGGTTTTTTTTTTACACTTGAAATAGTTAACAGCCCTACAACATAGGATTGACTTGAAAATCAGTTTTTTTCTTGTGATTACAAATTAAGAACAGAAAAATCTAGGCCTTAGATTCTTGGGATCAAGTACTGACTTATTTCCTTATAAACACTGTAAATATACACAAAGTAATATTGACCCAAGGGCCTGGTGAGTAAATATTTGGCACAGGGCCAGTGAAGTGCATGGGAAATTGCCACAGATGGGAGAGTGGAGTGGGAGGCAGTCTCGGAACAGGTCAAGGGTGTTTACTTCAATCAGATTATGTCAGTGGTAAACTGCTGCATTAAGAAAGTTTTGGGAATCAGAATATGACGTTTGCAGCACTGATTCTATAAAGGAAATAAATTCAGACAGGAAATGAAATGTAGTAAGATGGGCAAAATCTGTTTTATGGATTGGTAGTGTTGTGGCATCATCGTATGGAATGTGATTTTGTTCTGTTTTGTTTTTTAGGATATAGAATGGACTCACATTGACTACTTCAATAATGCTATCATTTGTGACCTAATAGAAAATGTGAGTACTTAAGTATAGTTTTCTAAAGAATTTTTTAGCAATATAATTCACTACTTAGAAGTGATCTCACTGCCTTCAATGTTAAGCATTAGTATTTTCACCATTTTACACTTTTCTTTGAGGAACTGCAGAGTTCAGGAGTTACTTCAATAATGCTATCATTTGTGACCTAATCGAAAATGTGAGTACTTAAGTATAGTTTTCTAAAGAATTTTTTAGCAATATAATTCACTACTTAGAAGTGATCTCACTGCCTTCAGTGTTAAGCATTAGTATTTTCACCATTTTACACTTTTCTTTGAGGAACTGCAGAGTTCAGGAGATTTTATAGCCCTAACAGATCACACACAGTTCTTGGACACATACATAGACAGCTGGACATTTTCACACTTAGCCGGGATCCCTCATGCTCATCCTGTTGTTTTATCCCAGAGCCCTTTATGACCTTCAAATGCCAGGCCCTTAAATGCATCAGCCTTTCTTGGGTGGTGGGAACCCAGGTCCAAGGCATGGCTCCTGGGAATGTGAGTACTGATCAGAGTAGGCTCAGAGCAGCCATCCAGTTTTTTGCCATTCATTTCTAAAACTCTAGTAAGCTCTTAACATACTGTTCAAGTTAAGATAAAGGGTGATAAAGGCACAATTTCTGAAGCTGAATTAAGTGGGGCCCCACAAGTGGCTCAGGTACAGACCTAGCATTGATTCAGAGAATGTATGCAGACGGTATTGCCTGTGTGACTGCAGGTGGCCAGACAAAGAAGTATGCGTATGTGAAAAGGCTTTAAAGTTTAGAATTACTAACACTCTGACCTTGATGAAATAGTTTGAGACAATGTATAAACTTTATTGTCCTACAGTCTTGTTAGCTGTCAGTAGTAGGTGAGTGTTTCAGGAATACCATCATAGGCTCTGAATGTGCAGCAAATCATTTTCTATTCATCTTTAACAAACTCTTTAGAAATTCTGTAATTAGCCAGTATTTTTTTCTCAGTATTAAAAATATTCCTGAAAGCTGCATCTTTGATTAAATTGGATATTAAAAACCGTATTTGAAAGCATCACTGTTTTTCAGTAGTGATTAAATATAAACTTTGTTTTGAAAAATCTGAACAATGTTGGAATGGGAACACTAATAATCCACATCAGCAATTCAGAGCTCCAGTTTAAAATCCAGAAAATTAGTGGGTTTCCTGAAAATTTTTCCTGTTAAATTTGTGACCAAGGTAATTTGCTGCATAGACATAACATTGCACTTAATTATTTTCCTTTAAAAAGGGGGTGGGGGGGAGGGGGAAGAACACTGGTAATACACTTAATTTAACTAGATTATCTCAGCTAAAAATCCCCTTGCATATGTGATTAAAGAAACTCATGTTCACGTAGGAGCCTGGTACATAAAGGAAATGTTTCCTTCCAGCATCTTAAACAATAATGTTTATTCTGGGGATGTTATGAACACAAACTTGATTCCTCAGAATCCACACTTCCCCCGGGTTTTGTGTGGAATGAATCAGTGCTGGTCAGAGGATGTCGTGGCCTTCTGAGGAGAAGGGAAGAGGGACGAGGGACTTTGCCTCAGTGGAAGTAGGTGGGGTTGATGGTCAGTGGAGTGGATTATTTTTGGAATTAAGACTTACGGGCCTGCAGAGGCAATCCAAGGAGCAGTAGCCTTAATTTAGCAAAGTAGATTCCTGATTTCTGGTCCAGCTTAGGGCTGACTGCTCTTGGAATAAATATGATCACAGGGTCTGAATACACAACAAATACATTTTCACTCATGTTTAACATCCATTTAGAAATCTTATTTGGAACAAGAATTTTATTCTAAACAGATATTCTTGGAAACAGCTTGATTGCAGTGTCATTAAAGGCAGCATCCCAAATCACAGCATTGTTTTTTTATAGAAAATAAACTTTATTTTGAACACATGAACAATTTGGAAACATATGAAACCAATTTCCTTCTCAAGCTGTGAATCAAATAACGGCCTTAGGAGACTGCTTTGTGACAACATGTTATAAAGGCTGTATTAGGTTCTGACTTTTAGATTTGTTTTTGAATCTTTGAGGTCTTGACTCGTCTTTTTCTAATAGTGTGGGTTTCTAACAGTCCTGAGCTGGCTGAGGTGGCCGAGGTGCCTCCCAGGTCCTGTCCTGTGCAGGGAGGGAGAGACTGATGGCTCACGCCCACCCCCATGCACACCTGGGGCACTTTGGAAACGGGCTGACTTCTGTGGCTGTTATTTATTTTCCTGGTAACTGAGCAGAATTTTCTTGTGACTAAGTTGATTGTTTTTAATGGTATAAGTAGGAATAATTATTAAAACAATACAGTGAGGAAGGAAGGAAACTTTTTTATTTCCTTTCTCCCAGAACACAAATGGAATCCTGGCCATGCTGGATGAAGAGTGCCTGAGACCTGGCACAGTCACCGACGAGACCTTCCTAGAAAAGCTGAACCAAGTCTGCGCCACCCACCAGCACTTTGAGAGCAGGATGAGCAAGTGCTCACGGTTCCTCAACGACACGTCACTGCCCCACAGCTGCTTCAGAATTCAGCATTATGCTGGCAAGGTATGGGGAGCTGTGAGCGCCGAGCCAGGCCTGTGGGGCTGTGCCCACCTGGAGACTGCGCCTCAGAGTTGAGCGTTCCAAACACTGTTAACTGGGGATGCTAAATTGAGCTGCTAAAACAGTTGAGCAATAAATGTTCAATAGAAGTAGAATCTGGACCATATTGAGCAAAATCTTATTAATATGGAGAACTGAAAGCAAAGCCAGTGGAGTTAATGAAGAGTCCAAATATATTTAAAAAACTGATTTTATTTTCCAGCCCTATGCTATCCTATGAAAAATATCCATCAACACTAATAAAGCAGATTTGCCAGTAAAAGTTAAGAGTCACTAAAGACTTACAATAAAGTTTTAAATGTACAAGCCATTTAGCAAAAATAGCAAATTCTTAGATTGAGATTTTGAGATGACACCGGGGAAAATATCTACTTTTTTAAAAAAAAGAACATGTATTTAGTTAATATTTTGGGGGATTAATTTTATGCCATCTAAAGTATAAAGAAAAGGTTAAAAACAATTTCGATAATAGATTTTTAGAACCCTTAAAGATTACTTAACAACACTTAATACCTCCTTTCTTATGAATAAGATTGCAAGCTTTAAAGGGAAAAAATACATAATTATTTATTTAATAACACTTATGTACATAGTATCTGAATTACCTTTAATTTTGAAATGTTTGAATTTGGTCCTTTATTTTTTTCAGTAGCCTGTATTCTTAAAAGGTACATTACTGATCAGTTTCTCTGCTGCTTTAGGATGTGTATGATAATATTACTCTATTTTCCCCTGTCTACTTTTAAACCGACTATAATTGTCACATGTGAACAAAAAAATAAAAGTAAAACATCAAATTATGTTCAAACACCAAAAAAATCTAAAATCCTTTGAAAATGTTATGATAACATTTTTGGAGTTTATTCTTGCAAATCCTGAAGGGTAATAGAATTTATTTTGATCTCTTCTGTGATTTAGACAGATGGAATTTAAACTTGGAGGCAAATTCAGTATTAGAGTGTGACTAACGTGTCGGAGATTTTTTGACGGCCAAGAAATGAGGCTGTAATGTAGATAGGTTCGGAATATTTTTAACAGCTGTTTGACATTATAGTGTGCAATATGCCAGCCATTGAGTCCCATGTCCTTCTCATAGGTGCTGTACCAGGTGGAAGGATTTGTTGACAAAAACAACGATCTTCTCTATCGAGACCTGTCTCAAGCCATGTGGAAGGCCAGCCACGTGCTCATCAAGTCTCTGTTCCCTGAAGGGAATCCCGCCAAGATCAACCTGAAAAGGCCTCCCACGGCGGGCTCACAGTTCAAGGCATCTGTGGCCACCCTGATGAAAAACCTACAGACCAAGAACCCAAACTATATTAGGTATTTCTGGCACATAAAGTTCTTTGGCAGTCCAAATGTGAGAGCACTCTCAAGGAATATCATTTTCCTATTTGCTTAAATCTGAGTATAGCCCAAGCGGAGGATTACTAAAGTACTTACAGATTAAATAATACAATATCTGGGGTTGGTTTAAAAAAATATTCTTCTGTCCTTTTCCCCAAAATAAGGAAGTAAAAAAAGAGAAAAAAAAATGTGACAGTAGATACTTAATGATCCTGGGTGGGTGGCATGTAGGGGTTCTCAGCTTTCTGTATGTTTAAATTTTTTTTAAATGATAAGTTAAACAAAATAAATTTTTTTTTCCTGGTCAGAGTTTTGCAGAAAACTTTTGTTGGCATCATTTTGGATTCTTGTTATATGAATGTACAGCAGAGCATTGAAGCAAGTGGAGTTCTGTTTACAACTGTGCTGTTTGTTAGGATATATGCACCTCTTTCTTTCCTGTAGGAGTTGTAGGCCTGGAGAAAGTAGTGACTCCTAAAACAATCTGCATTTTTTCAAGGCAATAGAAAGGCTTCCTTAAAAAGCCTCTTGTCTCTTTTTTTTTCTGCTTCTAAGGCATTTTAGAGATAACTATCTCAAGATTCAGTAAAGACCAGCTAGGATTAGAGTTTGCTATGTGTATATGTGGTAATAGAAGGTATGTGTCTGATGGGTAAGATGCCGTATAGCATGTTTGCACCCACAAATACCATCCACAGTTGTCTTTGAAAATTCAGTTATGAGGAAACTAGAATGAAGAACATTTTTGTGTTTGGCTTGTTTACCTGATATTTATCTTAGTAGAAATATATAGGCAAAATCCCCTGGTTTAATTGCAGTCAGGTTAGAACATATATTGGGAGAAGATCCTAGTTTCAAAAAAATAATCAGGAAACTTTCTGTGATTAGTTGCTTTGTTATTCTCAACTGAGTGGACTTTTTTTTTTTCATGTAACTATATTTTGTTGAGGTATCATTTATATGAAGTGATATGCATGGATCCTAGGAAAAGAGTTTATTTTTTAACTGTTACATACACTTTAGTAACCACCACCCAGGTCAAGACATAAAACATTTCCATCACCCCAGAAAGTTCCTTCATTCCCTACCCTTTTAGTGATTTTTACATCTTCTGTAAGAAATCTTACTAGGTAAAGAGTTTATTTTTTAACTGTTACATACACTTTAGTAACCACCACCCAGGTCAAGACATAAAACATTTCCATCATCCCAGAAAGTTCCTTCATTCCCTACCCTTTTAGTGATTTTTACATCTTCTGTAAGAAATCTTGATTAATAAGCCCCAAGATTGTGGCTATATTATCATATTTTTTTTCTAGAATCTTTGTAGTTTCAGAATTTAAGTTTAGGTCTTTTTTTCCCCACCATTTAAATATCCCATTGCTCTGACACCGTATATTGAAAAGTAAAAAAGTCTCTTTTTTTCATTCATTTGCCTTGGTGCCTTTAATGATAATCATTTGAATATATGTGTAGGGGTCTAGGTCTGAACTTACCAGGCTCGTCCATTGATCTATTTGTCTATCCTTACTTAAGCCAAAGAGTGGACATTATTTTTATAAATGGTTAAAGGAAAAGCATAAAAACATCAAAGCCAAACTAGGTAAGATTTAATTGTCCACATATTGTGTGTGTGTGGAATTTATTTGACAGTTGTAGTTACGCAGCCATAATCATTAGTGTTTAACAATTGTATTAGTTAGGACACAGGGATTGCTGCAAGGTGATCCAAACCTAACAATGGCTTAAACAAGATTGGCATTTATTTCTTATGTAACTTCTAAGTGTAAGGACTCCAGGGCTAATAGGGCAGCTCCTTCCATTTGGTGGGCCTGCCATTTCCACAGTGTTTTCCTCATCTGCATTATGACATGGTGGCTGTCCACCATGTCAACATTCGCAGCCAGCAGTAAACTGGGGAAAACCCCAGGGAGAACAGGTCCTTTCCTTTTAAGGACACAGCCCAGAAGTATTACTTTAGCTCTGGTCCTAGTGGCCAGAATTTGGTCACATGGCTACACCCATTTGCAAAGGAGACTGGGAAATGTAGTCTTTACCTGGGCAGCAAAGTGTCCTGTTAAAAAGGAGAGCAGATACAGGGAGGCAACAGTGTTTTTTTATCTTTTTATTGAGGTATAAAAAGCATAAGTAAAGTGCATGAATCTTAACTGTGCAGCTTGTTGAATTTTTACACGTGTGCCTTGTGTTACCCCATCCAGACTGAGATATAAAACATTTCCATCATCTCAGAAGATGCCTTTGTGCCCTTCCATTCCCACCACTACCTCTCCCCAGAGGTAACAGCAGCAATACTGATTTCTAACCATGGATTAGCAATGCTTGACCTTTGTGTAAATGGAATCATGCAACGTGTACTCTTCTATCAGACCTCTTTTGCTCAACAAAATGTCAGTGATACTCATCCATATTGTTGGATGTGTTAGTAATTTGTTCTTTTTTTAATTGCCGTGTAGGCAGTATTGTATTTATTTTTAGTGTGTTACAAAGTGGTTTGAAATAATTTCAAAAGTGCTGTGTAGGCAGTATTGTATTTATTTTTAGTGTGTTACAAAGTGGTTTGAAATAATTTCAAAAGAAATGATTAGGTCTCCCAAGAATAACAAAGTACTTATCTTACTATGAAACAATTATATATAACACATTATAAAACATGGACAGTTATATCCATAATAGGCAGAGTTTCAAACCTAAAATCTTTGTAATCTTTTAGATGTATCAAACCAAATGATAAAAAAGCAGCACACATCTTCAACGAGGCGCTCGTCTGTCATCAGATCAGGTACCTGGGTCTTCTGGAGAATGTCCGTGTGCGGAGGGCCGGCTACGCCTTCAGACAGGCCTATGAACCCTGCCTGGAAAGATACAAGATGCTTTGTAAACAAACATGGCCTCATTGGAAAGGACCAGCGAGGTAAGAAATTCATTGACCTTATTTAATAGTGAATTTTTAAAGTAGACAAATAACATGTTTTTTCCCCGCACACTATTAGGCGAAACAGAATTCTGTGAAAAATTGGGTGTAACCTCTGTTTTGGACCCTCTTCTATTAGGATACCGTTTTGTACTAATTCTTGATTAATTATAGAGGTCTCGATTTTCTTTAAGGTCAAGAGAATACTTATTAAATCCACATTTAGAGCTTATATGTCAATAAAATTTAAAAAATAAGCTCATGGCAAGTCATAGGCAATTTGTAACTGATACATATTTGTGTAGAATCATAAAAGGGCATCTTGGATCACCACTCTCAGCTTTTCAGTTTTCACTTCAGGAATTTTCCCTGAGAAAGGGGGAGTGGGTGGAGGTGAAGGTCCCACTGTTGGCCTAGGTCTGTACCGATTGAGAAATAGATAACAGGCACAGCTTGGATTTACATTGTCATTGTTATTGCTGGTAAAGATGGATTGGAGAATATTGCTTGGACCCGAGGCCATACACTTGCAGCTGGTCTGCCCTGAATTGCACTTACATAGCCAGTCCCAGACAGTGCTGGACCCTGCAGGCCCATCCCACAGAGCATCCCCCTCCCTGGTGAGCTCTCCATGTGCAAAGGGAACTTGTGTGCTGGAGGGCAGCCACCACAGGAGAAATCCGGCCTTGCCTGTGCAGTGACCTTTTTTCTGCTCTTGTCAGAGAGGTTGCCCCTCCTCTGTGGGCTGTAGAAGCTCTCTCCCAAATACTACAGGAAGGCCTGTTCCGTGGCCTTGGCAGGAGCTTAGGGATTTTCATTTCTCTGTACTAGTGTTGCCTCCGCATTTTCAGTGGACCTGACCTTTCACAGGAACATCAACAGATACTCAACTGCATTATAAGAAGATACGGAAACTCCAGGCATAGGGTGTGGTCTCTGATGCCTAATTCAGTACCCAGCTAATGTAGAGTCTGGGTGCTGTTTCAGTTCCTGCTGCTAATTTCCAGGATATTGTGGTAAACGTGTACCATAATACTGCACATGTATTTTATTTTAATGTTTTCTTGTACGTATTTGTGGGGTATAGTGTGTTTCAATACGTGCGCATACTGTGCATTGATTCACTTAGGGGAGACAGCATAGCTCTGTACTTGTTAATCCGCCACTTCTCCTCTCCACCACAACCCCTCTCCCCTCCTAGCCTCTGGTAACCATTAGTCTACTCTCTACTTCTATGAGAACCACTAGCGAGATGTAGTTTTAAAGACTGGTGTTGATAGTCCAGGATGGAGAGGTGAGAGCCAATTCCAGGCCTTGTTCATGTGAGGCCCACGTACTTTAGCATCCCCCTGGTCTGACACTTTAGCACTTTCTTGGGCCCTGCTCACATTCTGAGGAGCAGAAACAGTGTTTAAAATGTTTTCAAGAATTAACTGTGAATAGGTTCAAAATAGATCTGAGTTTCTTGCATTCTTTGTGGCCCTGGCTGGTACATTATTACAGGAATTTTTTATACAACTGTTGCCTCTGCTAATGAAATCAACAAATTGGCTTTAATACCACATTTTCTTAGAATACATAGTTCTGAACACAAATTTACTTTTTTAGTGTTCACTAGATTTTGTTTAATTTGTGCAATTCAGTACTGAAAATTCTTTGATAGAAAGATGATTACTGAAAGAGCAATTATACTTGGAAATGATGTTCTTTTATACCAGTGAGAACCTGATATCATGATTAGAAGTAAGATAAGATAAAACTATTTTGTAACTTGGAAATCTTATGGTTTCTATTTTTGTTTTCTTTTTTTTTTTTTAGGTCTGGTGTGGAGGTTCTGTTTAATGAATTAGAGATTCCTGTGGAAGAATACTCCTTTGGTAGATCAAAGATATTCATCCGAAACCCAAGAACAGTATGTAACCAAAACCTTTACACTCTGAACTTGTTAGAATCTTATAGGCAAGTTCTTAAAGGGTGTTTAACTTCAGAACATTATCTGAGATTCTACCATTAACTTCAGAACATTATCTGAGATTCTACCACCAATGCCACACTCTTGTGCTTATCTGCCAGTGTCCAAGAGGATGGGGGCACATAAGGGGTAGTAGAAGAATTTGTGTATTTTTTTTATGAACCATCAGAGTCTTTGACAGATTGTACAGCACTTAGGAAATCATGAACTGTTACTTACAACAGTGAAACTTCCCTAGTTCATAGCAACTGGAGGCAAACTTATCTGTGTTTGTAATATCTGAATTCCAATGCCACACTCTTGTGGCACATACGGGGTAGTAGAAGAATTTGTGTATTTTTTTTATGAACCATCAGAGTCTTTGACAGATTGTACAGCACTTACGAAATCATGAACTGTTACTTACAACAATGAAACTTCCCTAGTTCATAGCAACTGGAGGCAAACTTATCTGTGTTTGTAATATCTGAATTATATAATAATTTCAGGAACTACAGCCTATTTAGAGGTATAGGAAGGCACTCAAATGAAATTTTTTTCAAAGTTAAAAAGAACACTTAAAATTCTACCTTGTAGAACTCCAAGTGAGACTTTTTATAAATGAATAGATTAGTGTGAAGTATAATTAGTATAGCAGTTGATTAGTTATTTGGAAATTTAGAGAATTTGGAAAGCGTTTACATTGTTTGAGAAAATTTGCCAGCGTGTGCTTCGCATTAATAATTTCATCCTCATAGACAGCGCTCAGTCCCTTTCTGATTTGTCTTGAATTCTGAATCACTGGAGTGAAAATTGTGAATCTCACAAATTCATCAGAATATTTTTCTGATGGGCCATTTACCCATGTCACGTGTAATTAATATGATTATTCAATTTTTTTTCTCAATGTGGTTGACTCCAACATCATGGCATTTTACCTTCTGCGAATTCCTTTCACATATGCTGTGAGGTTTCAGAGGAGCTGTGATAAAGTCCATCTATTATTTCCTATTAGTTATTCAAATTAGAAGACTTGAGGAAGCAACGGCTCGAGGACTTGGCCACCCTCATTCAGAAGATTTATCGGGGGTGGAAGTGCCGCACACACTTCCTGCTAATGAAGAAAAGCCAAGTCGTGATTGCTGCCTGGTACAGGAGATACGCGGTAAGAGTCTCGGTCATTTTCAACCTGTGATAATGATGCTAATTTGCCAACTTCCCGTGTGTGTAATCTTTACATATTTAATTCTCCCACCAACCTCAGGAGACGGATGCTCTTATGGTTCTTTTTTATAAAGATGAGAAAATAAAGGTTCTGAGTCATTAAGTAACTTGCTCATGGCCACACAGCTGTAAGTGGCAGAGCTGGGATTTGAATCTGAGACAACTTCAGAGTTCCAGTTTAGTACACCACACTGCCTTCTGCTGATCTAGATGTATGTAGTGGTAATTGACATCTTTAATTTTGGCCATCAGATTGAAAGAGACATTGTCATTTTACCCTTTGACTATGGTTGGGTCAGTTTTCCAAAATAATCGGCTGTTCTTTCTTTATTGCAGCAGCACTGGAAATGGCTTTAATTCCAGAAAGCTAATGTCATGTTTTAGTAGAATTCTGATTTTGTCTAAAGGATTGGACTTTCTTCACTCTCTGAGGCATCAGCTCTAGGAATAAGAAAGGCCTCTGGGCACTGGGCTTATTGAGCCAAAGCCTGGAGCCTGGGGCTCCTTTAACCTTCCCTGCTTGGAAGTAACCTATTCTCCATCTGAGCCTGCTTGTTGTGCCCTCTGCCTTCTGTCCCTCCCAGGGCACTGTGTATCAATACACAGTTGACTTGTGCCCACACTACAAGTCCTTGAGGGCAGGGATGGAGTCAGATTCACGTTTATGTCCTTGTGGTTCTATTAAAATGCTTTATGCACTGTCAGGGCTCAATATATAAATGATTAGTGGATTGAAACCAGTGTACTTAAATTTTTAGCTGATTTCCCAGCTTGAAGCAGAGTGAAAATGGCAAACCTAAAAGGAACTGGGAAGTTAGAGGTGTTAGAGGTANGAATCTTATAGGCAAGTTCTTAAAGGGTGTTTAACTTCAGAACATTATCTGAGATTCTACCACCAATGCCACACTCTTGTGGCACATACGGGGTAGTAGAAGAATTTGTGTATTTTTTTTATGAACCATCAGAGTCTTTGACAGATTGTACAGCACTTACGAAATCATGAACTGTTACTTACAACAATGAAACTTCCCTAGTTCATAGCAACTGGAGGCAAACTTATCTGTGTTTGTAATATCTGAATTATATAATAATTTCAGGAACTACAGCCTATTTAGAGGTATAGGAAGGCACTCAAATGAAATTTTTTTCAAAGTTAAAAAGAACACTTAAAATTCTACCTTGTAGAACTCCAAGTGAGACTTTTTATAAATGAATAGATTAGTGTGAAGTATAATTAGTATAGCAGTTGATTAGTTATTTGGAAATTTAGAGAATTTGGAAAGCGTTTACATTGTTTGAGAAAATTTGCCAGCGTGTGCTTCGCATTAATAATTTCATCCTCATAGACAGCGCTCAGTCCCTTTCTGATTTGTCTTGAATTCTGAATCACTGGAGTGAAAATTGTGAATCTCACAAATTCATCAGAATATTTTTCTGATGGGCCATTTACCCATGTCACGTGTAATTAATATGATTATTCAATTTTTTTTCTCAATGTGGTTGACTCCAACATCATGGCATTTTACCTTCTGAGAATTCCTTTCACATATGCTGTGAGGTTTCAGAGGAGCTGTGATAAAGTCCATCTATTATTTCCTATTAGTTATTCAAATTAGAAGACTTGAGGAAGCAACGGCTCGAGGACTTGGCCACCCTCATTCAGAAGATTTATCGGGGGTGGAAGTGCCGCACACACTTCCTGCTAATGAAGAAAAGCCAAGTCGTGATTGCTGCCTGGTACAGGAGATACGCGGTAAGAGTCTCGGTCATTTTCAACCTGTGATAATGATGCTAATTTGCCAACTTCCCGTGTGTGTAATCTTTACATATTTAATTCTCCCACCAACCTCAGGAGACGGATGCTCTTATGGTTCTTTTTTATAAAGATGAGAAAATAAAGGTTCTGAGTCATTAAGTAACTTGCTCATGGCCACACAGCTGTAAGTGGCAGAGCTGGGATTTGAATCTGAGACAACTTCAGAGTTCCAGTTTAGTACACCACACTGCCTTCTGCTGATCTAGATGTATGTAGTGGTAATTGACATCTTTAATTTTGGCCATCAGATTGAAAGAGACATTGTCATTTTACCCTTTGACTATGGTTGGGTCAGTTTTCCAAAATAATCGGCTGTTCTTTCTTTATTGCAGCAGCACTGGAAATGGCTTTAATTCCAGAAAGCTAATGTCATGTTTTAGTAGAATTCTGATTTTGTCTAAAGGATTGGACTTTCTTCACTCTCTGAGGCATCAGCTCTAGGAATAAGAAAGGCCTCTGGGCACTGGGCTTATTGAGCCAAAGCCTGGAGCCTGGGGCTCCTTTAACCTTCCCTGCTTGGAAGTAACCTATTCTCCATCTGAGCCTGCTTGTTGTGCCCTCTGCCTTCTGTCCCTCCCAGGGCACTGTGTATCAATACACAGTTGACTTGTGCCCACACTACAAGTCCTTGAGGGCAGGGATGGAGTCAGATTCACGTTTATGTCCTTGTGGTTCTATTAAAATGCTTTATGCACTGTCAGGGCTCAATATATAAATGATTAGTGGATTGAAACCAGTGTACTTAAATTTTTAGCTGATTTCCCAGCTTGAAGCAGAGTGAAAATGGCAAACCTAAAAGGAACTGGGAAGTTAGAGGTGTTAGAGGTAGGCCCAGTAAGTAGCATGGTGATAAATGACACTGAGAATAGAGAACACATGAAAGCAGAGGCGGAACTCGGTGTGTACTCATTCAATGTGCGTTTACTGAGAGTCTGCTGGGTGTGGGACCCTGTATTATAACAGCATAGCCCAGTAAGTAGCATGGTGATAAATGACACTGAGAATAGAGAACACATGAAAGCAGAGGCGGAACTCGGTGTGGACTCATTCAATGTGCGTTTACTGAGAGTCTGCTGGGTGTGGGACCCTGTATTATAACAGCATAATACAAAGAACAGATGATAATAATGGTGGGTCCTGAGTCATTTAGAAATCATAATATTTAGCATTCTTGGAGCATACTTTGGGTTAACTGTAATAATTTTGGACTGTTTGGCATATTTGGTTTCCAGAAGGAGTGAGGATGAGCAAGAGTCAATTGCACTAAGTGAGCAAATGCCCTTTCTCAGTCCCTGCAATGTAGGCATTACAGAGATGTAAATACAACTGCTAATATCTCCCCTTGTATCCTACAGCAACAAAAGAGGTATCAGCAGATAAAGAGTTCTGCCTTGGTAATTCAGTCTTACATCCGGGGCTGGAAGGTGAGTTTAAAAGAAGTGGTGTGCTTTTTTTGTTTGGGTTTTTTGGGTTCTTCACAAAGGATGATGTCTTCAGGCTCACCCTGCAGGGGAGGGCTCCTCCGCCTCCTGCCTACCCTGTAAACAGTCAGATGGAAAGAATAAATATTATGGGCCAAGCCGGAGCCCCGGTGACCATCTCTTGCCTGCTTCCTTCTAACCACCTTTCTTTTAAGGGCTTTGTTCTCTAAGCAGGAAGTCCTTGAAATAATACCGTACATGATTTCAGTATCCCCTTGCCCTGTGTTTTCGGAGAAGCTGTTGTCCAGAAGGCTGTCTTACAGCCATTGCCTCTGTGCCTGTGAGTCCTCCCAGATCTCAGCACCCCCAGCCCAACAACACCCATAACTTCCCAGTGAACATCTTGCAGCCTGCCCCATAGTGAGTGAAAGATCTTGAGTTCTGGCCAGGTCTAGTGGTTTGGGCTGGGGGCAAGGTGGGGGTGGGGGGGACAGTCACAGTGGGTGACCTGGTTCCACATCCTTCCTGCTAAGGCTTGGTTCAGTGGTCAGCAAACTAAGATTCACAGGCCACATCTAGCCTGCGGGTAAAACCTGCAAACTAAAGAAGATTTCATTACATGTGAAAGTTATATGAAATACAGATTTTAGTGTCCACAGATAAAGTTTTATTGGAACACAACTGTGCTCATTTATTTCACAGATGGCCTGGCTGCTCTAGCACTACAGTGGCAGAGTCAGGTAGTTGTGCTAGACCATATGACCTATAAAACCTAAAGTATTTACCATCTGGCCCTTTATGGAAAAAGTTTATTGACCTCTGCTGTACATCAAAGATACTTCAGGGCCTGTTCTGACCACTTTCCTGTTAGGAGACTTTCTGGAGTGGACTGGATCCAGAGCAGATACTTCAATGTCCTACCCAGGCCTGGAGCCTTTTCAGAGGGCAGAGCCCGGGCCAGCAGTCCAGCAGCATTTATTGACCTTTGTCCGGGCTCTGGACAACCCGAGGGCTCAGTAGTTGTCCCACAGCAATGCCAAAACACAAATCTGAGCATGCAGAGTAAGGAAACTGCTGCCTGAACTGTCTTCCTGACTTCATTATTGGACCCTGGGTCCCAGTTTGCAGGCAAGAGACTTCAGAGGCAGGACCCAAAGCCCACCTTCAAACCATGTGTCCTCCTGGCCCCCATAAAATCAGTTCCCAGCCACTACTGGGAAGAAGCCACTGGTTTGGGATCAATGAGATCGTTTTGTTTTAGCAAACTTAAAAATTTCTTTCAAATGAAAAGGACAGCTACAGTTATATTCCAGACAGTAATAATAAAAGAAATATAGTGGCCTTTGGAGGGTCCTTGGGGATCCACTGACCACATTTCAGAACTGTTCCCTCCTTCTAATGACCACCAGCTTGTATTGCTGTGGTCAGATTTTTCCTGTCATATGTCAGGGCACAGGAGGTGCTGCCCCAATCTGGAGTGGGGACCACACTCATGCTTGGTGGTTTTCTTCATTGACAACCTTCTCATAGTCAGTTTGGGGCTGTGTCCAGCTTCCCCTTTCCCTTTAGCTGTTGATTTTTCACTGGAGCATGACTGTTAGGACTGCCATCACTTCAGGTATTTTTTTCAAGTCACTAGGAATTCCTTTTTTTTTTTTTTTACCATTCTCTTTTTTTTTGGATGATTCTGCACCTTAGGCTCGAAAAATCCTGCGGGAACTGAAGCACCAAAAGCGCTGTCAGGAAGCAGTCACAACGATTGCAGCATATTGGCATGGGACACAGGTAGGCCAGAGACCCCGAGGAAGGTGGTGGGTCAGGAGCAATACTGAGTAGAACCCAGGACCCTCAGACCCTCGGCTTCAGGGGCAGAAAATGTTTCCCAGGCTTCAGCTACTGAGCACGCATTTGCCTCTTGCTCTTGCCAACATTATGGTGTGGGTGGTGGCACATGCTTTTGCGTTTTACCATTTGGTGACTGGTGTCTTTCTTTTTCTTTCTCCATTGGGAACCAGCAGTAACCTTTCCTGCCTTAAACTTTTCTGTAACTCCTTTTCAAATGCATCACAGGCGCGAAGGGAACTGAGACGGCTGAAGGAGGAGGCTAGGAATAAACATGCTATTGCAGTTATTTGGGCTTACTGGCTTGGATCCAAGGTACTTGATGCACACGTCTCATCACTCCATCCAGGAACTCTGCGATCGTCAGTCCTCTCTCTCGCATGTTAGGGGATGAATGGCTGCAGTTAATAGCAGTTCACCCCGATGCATGTCCTAGCAGCCAGATTTAACAAACCTGGAGATGTTACTGTCAGTAGTGTACGTAGAAAGCTTGGGCATATGTAGACCAAAAAAACTAATTGCTTACTAATAAGGCACTAGTATAGTTGCTCTTTTTAAAAAAAAAATCTTAAGTAACATGCATGTTTAGTTTTTTGGGGTTTTTTTTGATGTATGCTGGTGGTTTTTAGAGGTGTGTTTTGGGGAGTGGGGGGGCATTTTGGGAATGTTAGGGTTTGGGCTTGAATCAGCCTTCTGCACTGTGGTCACAATGGAAATGTCCTTAAAAGCATGCCTTAAAAAAAAATTAATCCTTGAATGAAATTGTTTTTTTAGGCTCATTGTCTTACCTGTTGATTAGTTAGTATGAGCAAAATATTACATGTGAAAATAATTATCATCTGTGATTTAGCAGAAAACTATGTTCATGCAAAGCTAGCTATAATTGCCCCTGAAGAATCCCAGGAATTTCAGCATCAGCTGTTTGTTTTCAGAAACAAAGGCCTCCTGAAATACTCTCACTAATCCCCAGGCATAGTCCTGGACTCTGTGAACATTTCACATACCCCAAGGGACAAGATTTTTAGATGTTTTTGTGACTTAGAAAATCAAAGGTCATCTTTGCTAAAAATGTCTATTCCAGTTAGAAACACAAATATCAACAGAGCCCTGTGTTTTTAAGGATACCTTGTCAACTTTGCAAGCCCATCTTGTGAGAAAAATGAGAAAAGTCAACATTTGCCTGCATAAGGAACTTAATTTGCCAAAAACTAACCAAAGTTGTTCATTTGTGTTTTTCCTGAAAATCCACGAAGAACAAACTAGCTCCTTTAGGCAACTGAGGGAAATGTCCTAACAGAGGCAGAAGGACTCTTAGATGGTTATTGCTGGATTTCTCCAGTGAGTGAGCTCATTTCCCAGTCTCAGTACTATACGTTTTGAAAAATTAATGCCTACTTCTGTCTTTTAAAATAGCATGCCTAAGGTTAATTTTTCCTTAAAAGTCACTTTTAAACCTGTAAGTTGTTTCACTTTTTGTCTTGCTTTAATCTCCAGTATATTTCACTGTTTGGGGCCTTAGCTAAAATTGAATTTATATATGTGCTATTTTTATTTTTTTAACTGGAAAGAATTTTAGAGTTTTGTTAGATTTGTTTTTGCACTTCAGAGAAATGGACTTTATTTCTTCCAGTGTTCTATATAGTTGTTTGCAAGAGCTGTCTCTTTATCTGTCCAAATGAATGAACTCAGACAGGAGTTCACAGCCTCTTTAGCCCCATGTGCCATCAGTGAAGGAAAGTCTAGTGAAATCATTAGGTGCCACTCACAGTTCTGAGGCTGTGATAAGGGAGGGAGAGAGTGTGGAGAAGGAAGCAAAGAGAAAGAAGACAGGGGAGGAAAATTGCACGTTAAGTGGGGGAGGGTAACAGAATCTCAGTGCAGTGAAAATACAAGTTACTGCACCAGCCTGACGCTGATTCTTTGGTTTTAAATGATCATGCACTGTGCTCTATCATTCTAAAATCCTTATTCATAAATTGGCTCTTCTGTTTGGTGGGGTGTCTTTTCTGGTCATTTGTGCTGTCTGCATTGGGCTGTCTCTTTTATTTACTATCTAAAACATTCTAGGCTCGAAGGGAATTGAAACGCTTGAAGGAGGAGGCTAGGCGTAAGCATGCAGTTGCTGTCATTTGGGCTTACTGGCTTGGACTGAAGGTACTTCCTCAACCACTTCTTTCTGTCCCTGGTGAACTCCATAAAGCCTAGCACCTACTAACCCTGAGCAGACTGTCGATTATGCTTGCTGATGGTCTGCACAGTCCTGTGGAATGTCATCTTGCCTAATTTTGTTTCTTCTTGAGAAGAAACCTATACAGTATTATTTTTCTTTTCTGATTTTGTGATTTCTATTTCTTTAAATAATAGGTTTAAACTAAAGTAATAATGATGTGGCATATTTTATCCAAGGTACTTTGGATGTTCTATTTTATGTTGTCTTTATGAGTATGAAGTTTTTTTGTTTGTTTGTTTTTTAAATCCATGAGACAGTATTATACTAGTTGAGCTAAAAGCTGACCTACTATCCACAGGGCCCAGCCTGGGGATGACAGGCTTTTGTTTCCCTTTATCTGCCTATTCTGCTCCAATAATGACTCCCTGGAGCAGAGCTTTCTTCAAAGCCACCATCATTCTAATTGTTCAGCATAGAAACCAAAGAGATTTGCATCAGTAAACTTACAGATTTTGAAGAATGAGATGACAGAGATCAGTGGATCATTTAGGTTAAAGAGAAACTTAAATTCACATGCCTTGTGGTTAGGACAGGGTTTATATCAAAATAGAGCTTACTTAATAGGATACACATGAAGTACATACGTTGCTGAGCCCTGGAAAACCTTTAGAATGACCTTTAGATAATATAAGGATTTGGTCTTCCTAATATTCAATAACTAATCACCATTGGGAGCCATCCATGTTGCATTTTGGGAATAATTAGGTCCCCTTTTGACACTATTCTTCTTTATTATTTTTACTTTAATCCTATCATATTTAATCTTACTCTAAATACTTGAATATTATTGGAGAAATTGACTCTGAATCTGAACAGGCATTAGAAGTATTTCTGAGCAATCTGCATTTTTCTCTGAGAGTTTAGCCTGTAAACTTTTAGTAAATTATCCTTTTTGATTGTACTGAATGCTCAAGTAATTTTTGAAGTAATTAAGAAACTTAAATATGAATTTTAACAGATGTTCTATTTCACGAATTCTGAACAAGTTCGATCACTGCTTTTTTAAAGAAGTCAAACAAAACTAAACATTTTGTTTTCCATTTTATTCACATCTTCTAATTTACATTCTAATTTCCATAAAAGGAAGTAAAAAATACCATGTCAGGATTTTTACTCTCTATTGTGATTTACATCAGTAATATGCTTATCTTCAGTTTTCTGGGTTTAACTGCATATGATTTCAAAATATTTTTGCATTAGGGGTATGCACTAGAAACCTACAAAGCAAATTCAGTTTGTAGGTCAATGTTATTTTAGCAGAAATTAACTGGACTTATCTAGACATAGCTGTTTTTTTTCCAGTTCCAACAAAACATATTTTAATATGTTATCCCTATTATATTATTGTTACAAAATAAGATTAAACTTCCTTAAAATCCAAGAATGTAATAGTTTTCTACTATTTTTTTCCCAAAAGAGAATTATGCTGATATGAGTGATAGTTTCATCCTTTGAAATGAGCTGATTTTTTCTTGTGAAATAGTTACAAAGTGCAGTGGACACTTTTAGGACACCTGGTACCCATGAGGGGCACCCATTGTATATGACAACATATTGTCACCAGGCTTTTACTGTTATGTAGCTGCATTTTAGGAGATATAACCTGGGTAGTATCAAAAAGCATGGTTTTCTACTATTTTTTTCCCAAAAGAGAATTATGCTGATATGAGTGATAGTTTCATCCTTTGAAATGAGCTGATTTTTTCTTATGAAATAGTTACAAAGTGCAGTGGACACTTTTAGGACACCTGGTACCCATGAGGGGCACCCATTGTATATGACAACATATTGTCACCGGGCTTTTACTGTTATGTAGCTGCATTTTAGGAGATATAACCTGGGTAGTATCAAAAAGCATNTCCCTATTATATTATTGTTACAAAATAAGATTAAACTTCCTTAAAATCCAAGAATGTAATAATTTTCTACTATTTTTTTCCCAAAAGAGAATTATGCTGATATGAGTGATAGTTTCATCCTTTGAAATGAGCTGATTTTTTCTTGTGAAATAGTTACAAAGTGCAGTGGACACTTTTAGGACACCTGGTACCCATGAGGGGCACCCATTGTATATGACAACATATTGTCACCAGGCTTTTACTGTTATGTAGCTGCATTTTAGGAGATATAACCTGGGTAGTATCAAAAAGCATGTTTCAATGAGTTCAGTTATTATGAGGTTCAGCTAAATATAGCAGGACTTCCAGTATATTTTTAAAGATGTGTGGTAAGCTCACTTTAACTTATCTACTTTCCTATGCTATTATAATTTCAGGAGCAAATTAATAGGTACCATTTTTTTCTCCTTGTCCCTTCTAACCTTATAAGTTTGAGATTGGAAATGTTTGCGAATCTAGCAACTCCATGACGAAAAAAGAAACGATAGAATGAGAATAAAAGGAAATGTGTGCTTGTAGGACACTATGTTAAGTGAAATAATCCAGGCACAGAAAGATGAAAACCACGTGTTCTTACTCATGTAGGAGCTAACAAAGTCAACCTCAGAGAAGAAGAGTGAAATAGCGGTTAGTAGAGGCTGGGAAGGGTAGGGGGGAGGGAGAGATGGGGAGAGGTTGGTTAATGGATACAAAATTACAGCCAGATAGAATAAGTTTTAGTGTTCTGTGGCACTGTAGGGTGGCTATAATTAATAATTATTGTATATTTCAAATAGCTAGAAGAGAGAATTTTTTATATTCCAAACACACACACAAAAAATAAATGTTCGAGGTGATGGATATGCTAATTATCCTAGTTTGATCATTAGGTATTATATGGATGGAAATATTACTGTTTCCATAAATACGTATGATTTTTATGTTTCAGTTAAAAGTAATAAAATAAGTAAAAGGAAGAACTGCCTTTATGTGGTATATGGCACAATTTTTAAAACTTAATCATGCTCATATGTGGAGAATGGGTGTGGAGCTCAAATGCCCAGAGGGACCAGGCAGGTGACTTAGATGAGGGAAGCAACAGGTAGAAGGTGGGGCAGGAGCGATGGGGACTCACGAAGCTTGAGCACGCCTGTCTCTTCTAAAGGCAACAGCAGCTACTCTGGTCCTGTAAGAGTGGAGTGGGTCTCACTGTTGCTAGATCTTAGAAAATTTTAAGAGAAACCTGCAGTCCGAATTATTATATGAAGTTCTAAACTTACAAATACTCATGTAAATCATTTATCTACAAACTGAATTCAGTTAGTAGGCTGCTCGCTTACAACCCCTAATGTAGAAATATTCTGAACATGTGCAGTTAAACTAAAAAAACTGTGGC